GGTTTTCCGTTTTGTTATATTTAACCAATAAATTATAAGTAATTACGTTAATTGGGTTTTTTTTTTGCTTGCTTTTAAAAAAAACTTTTTTTATTAAATTTAACGTTTTTTATAATTATTACTTTTTTTTTAACGAAATTTAAATTTGGTAAATGTTAAAGGCTTGGTAGCTTATTAAATATTTAACCCCGGCACGAAAGTTAATTTTAAAATGCTTAAAATTCGCGTTATGGAACCTTTTTACGTTTAAAAAATAAACTTTGCACCCATAAGCGTAAATGCCGTTCCAATCCGGTTTTAAATTGGTTGTTAAACCCGTAAAAAGTTTCGGGGCGTAATACCGGAATTACCCCCGAAATTAATTTAAAAAAATATTGTTAAAAGCGCGCATGCTTTTCGATAGTAAAGGATTTATGTTTTTTAGCTAAACGGCAGCGTACACCGCTTTCGGTTATAAATGCTTAAAAAATTTTGCGCTTTTACGCATGCGTATTTTTTTCGTAATAACGTTTTGTTCCGTACGTTTAATTATTTCGTTGGGTTCGTAAATGTATAACGGTAAAGTTTTAATAACAATACCTTTAATTTAAACCCATTTTTCGTATTCCAAAAATCTTTTTACAAATATAATAAACTTTTTTTGGTTGTGTTTAAAAGTAACAACAAGCAATTTATAATGTTTTTTTACTTATGCTTTCCATTTTTTTAAGATTTTGGTAACCGTTAATTCCTTTTTGTTTGGGAATGTAAAGCTTTAAATTTTGCCGCTGTATTTATTTATTAATAGCAAAACTGTTGGAACCTACTTGTTAAGCGCATGCACAAGCTTTGGAAAACCGCTATGCACAGATCCGGAATCTGTGCACCAACCATTTAAAGCTCCTTTGTACTTATATAAGGAGGTTGGATCCGTCCCTCTCTTCCAGCAAAATTCCTTCCTCCTTAAACTTAAATAATAACATTTTAATTTAATTACCTTTTGATAATTATTAACCCTTAGTTTTACGCCGTTTGGAAATTTACGAGCATAAAATTCCACTTTAAAGTTTTTTTTACATTAATTAATGTTGCAAAAAGCAATACAAAAAAGCAAAAAAAAGGGTCCTTTAGTTAACTAAGGTTAAGTAAAAGATTCAAAAGCTAAAAATTATTGGTTCGACGTTTGGCAGCGCATTTTTCATTTGCTTTCGGCCATTAAAATCGAAAAAGCTTTGAAAGGGGGCGCTATGCAATCCCTTAAGCTAACATTTTAACCCGGTTTAAACAATTAGGACGGATTGCTTTAAGTAATACCGCTTACCATCCTTTTTACCATTTTATTATGGAAAAAGGAGAATCCTCCGCTTACGCAATCCTTAATAAGCAGGATTAAAGCCCGACAAGCACAAAAATATTTCGTAAAAAACAAGCACTTTATGCAAAGAAAGTTATTAACACTTTAAACCTTCCTTTAAACCTTTTGTTAATCCTTTATTTCCTTTTTTTTAACCACCCCAATGTTAGGGGTTAATCGGTGCAAAGGCGGGTAGTTACCGGGTTACGGGCCGGATGCGGTGTTTCTTTTGTTAAGCCTCCGTAAATCTCTTACCAAAGGTGCTATCGCTAATAAAAATTGTTCCTTTTTTAACTTCCCCTTCCTTTATGCCCTTTCGGGCACCCGGGGTCGGTTTTTTAAATTTTTTGCGCTTTAAGCGCTTTCGTGCAATTTAAGCTTTACTTTATTTTTTAGCTTTGCCATTATGCTTTGGCCGCAATACCGGTAACTTGCCGGCATATTCCTAAAGGGTCCGTGCCCGGTTGGTTGCTAGCGCCCTTTTTTTTTTTTTGCCGGGCGGTTTTGCCCGTGCATTTAACGCTTTTCGCTTTTTGCCGGGCGATTTCGCCCGTGCTTTTAACATATTGCCCCTTTCCGATACGGTTTGTTCCAAGCCGTTTATACCGCGCGTGCAACCCCGTAAATAGCCGGTAGCTTACGGTATTTCGCCAAACCGCTATTAAAAGTACGGGCGAAACCGCCCGGCAAAAAACGGGAAGCGTTAAATGTACGGGCGAAACCGCCCGGTAAAAAAAAAAAGGGGCGCTAGCAACCAACCGGGCACGAACTTCCCGGGAATATGCTAGCAAGCTACCGGTATCGCGGCCAAAGCATAATAGCGAAGCTAAAAAATAAAATAAAGCTTAAATTGCACGAAAGCGTTTAAAGCGCGAAAATTTTAAAAAACCAACCCCGGGTGCCCGAAAGGGCACGAAAAAAAAAAGGTTAAAAAAAACAATTTTTGTTGGCGATAGCACTTTTGGTAAAAAATTTACGGAAGCTTAATAAAAAAAACATTGCATTCGGCCCGTAACCCGGTAATTACCCGCTTTTGCATTAATTAACCTTTAATATATTGTTCCTTTTTTTATACTTTTTTTATTTGGGGAGCAAGCCCGGGTAATTACCGGAAAGGATCGAATAAATTTAAAAAAGGCATTTGCGACCTCGCACCGTTTATAATAACGCCCGACGCTACGTCGAGCACGTTGGAAAGGGCCGTTAAATTACCGGAACAAAATACCAAAGGAACCCTGCAAATTCTTAACAATTTTGAAAACCTTTCCGTAAAGGAATTGCAAAAAATAAACGACGCGCTGGAAGCTTAAAGCAAACGCGCCCGTTTAATCCAAAAAATCCAAAATAAAGGGTTAAAATATGCGCATAAAAGTTTAAACAAAAATAAAAAAAATACTTTTAAGCAATAAAAAGGTTTTACGTAAAACAAAATTACTTTTAAGCTTTTTATGCTTAAAAAGTCGGTAATTTAGCAAAATATCGCCCATTACATTAATAATTACAAATTTATTTTTAAAAGCAAAAAGGAACGCTACGGTAAGGACCGTGTAAAAATTTAAATAACTTTTAGCACTTTCGACCATTATTAACGGGCATAATGGACAAAATACAAACAAATGCATTACTTAAATACCGGGGTATTGTTTATTTAGGCCGATTTTTCGCGATAGCTTTAAACAAAATCGAAAAACCCTAATTTGCAAATGTAACTAGCAATTAAAAAGCTCGCGGAAAATACCGTTATTAAATAAAAGGATTACGAATTGTTTAAAACGTTCCGAATTTGTTGGGATTTAATAAAAGATAACCTTTTCGAATTAGCACCCAAATAAATAAGGACAATATTGCTTTTTAACCGGCTCCGCCTCGAAATCCAAAAACGGGTAACATTTAAAAGCTTTCCTTACATTATGGAAAAATTGCAAGCCAAAGCCTTTAAAGCAAAAATAATATCGGAACCGCATAAAAGGATCCCGGGGGATACAAATATCCTAACCTTTAAAAAGCCGGTTATTTGCTTTAAATGCGGGCAATTAGGCTATATCGCTGTAGCATGCAAAATACGAACGGATAACCCGAAAACCCCGTTAGCTTTAGCAACCATACAAAAGGCAAAAAGGAAAAGGCCCGAAGTACGGTGTTACGGGTATAAGGAATTGGGCTATATCCGGCCGGCGTGCCCCAAAAAAAGCAAAATATCGCTATTTAATTCGATACCGCTATTTGGCCGTTTAGGCACCGGGGCTTAAAAGTGCGCCCCGGCGGCTAAAACGCGTTAAAAAACCGAAATGTATTTACGGATTAATGGTCGCCGGGTAAAGTTAAAAGCGTTGGTTAATAATAAAAACGACGTTAATTTGCTGCACAACCGTTTTTTAATAAAAGCAAAAAAGATACCGGTACCAAACGGGGGCTATTTGGCGTAACTCGATACTAAGAAACGCATGCTTACGCTAAGGGTAAAGGAATACAAAACTTGGGTAACGGATAGCTAGGGAATAACCCGAAAATTAATAGTATTTTACGTAATAATGCCCCGGGCCGGGTACGACATTACGTTAAGCATGCTTTAGCTTTAACAAAAAAATATTAAAATCCGGTTTGGGGATATAAAGTGGAAGTTTCCGGTAACCACCAAAAAGGTTAAAATAATTTTGTTGGAAATAGCCAAAAAGCTAATTTAATCGGGACAAGCAATAGCTGTACTAACGGTTGCACGCTCGAAAACCCCGAAAAACCCCGGGAAAAAGCTAAAAACTTTCCCGAAATGGGTTAAAAAAATAATTGCAAAACATGCGCAACTTTATAAATTAAACCTTTTGCTAAAATATACAAATTAAAACCACGCAATTAAATTAAAAAAAAAAATAATGCCGCCTTACGAAAGCATTTATTTTTTATCCAAAAAGGAATTAAAAACCTTTCGGGGGTACTTTAACGAAGTTATAGCAAAAGGTTAAATCCGGCATTTAACCAACCCCGCTAGCGCTAAAATCCTATTCGTTTTAAAAAAGGACGGAAAGCTTCGCTTTTGTATCGATTATCGGGGTTTTAATAAAATTACCAAAAAAAACCGGTTAACATTCCCGCTAATTTACGAAATATTTAACCGGGTATTTAAAAGCCAGTATTTTATTAAATTGGATTTAAAAAACGCTTATTACAAAATACGGATCCAATAAAAAAACGAATGGAAAATTGCTTTTCGCTGCAAATATGGACATTACAAATACTTAGTAATGCTTTTTGGTTTGGCCAACGCCTTAACAACGTTCCAAAACTTTATTAATATAGCGCTTGGGGAATTAATTAATAACAATTGCATCGTATATTTAAATAACATTTTTATTTTTTCGAAAATACAAAAAAAGCACCGCAAAGCAATAAAAACGGTGCTAAAACGATTCGAACGGTTTAAACTTTACGTTAGCCCGGCCAAATGCAAATTCGAAACGAATAGTATTAACTTTTTAAAGTTTAGGATAACCAAATTCGGGATCGAAATTTTGCCGGATAAAATTGCTACGATTTTAAAGTAAAGGATACCGGAAAGCGTTAAAAACATCCAGGTATTTTTAAACTTTACGGGGTATTATTGGAAATTTGTAAAGGGCTACGCGAAAATTACTGTACTTTTAACGGATTTTTTTAGCAAAAATACCGTATTTTACTTAAAAAATGTTGCGAAAAAGGCTTTTTGCAAATTAAAGCTGCTATTTACGAAAGCTCCGGTATTGGTACATTTTAACCTTTCGAAACCGCTATACGTACGAACCAACGCTTTGGCTTTCGCGATAAAAGCGGTGTTATTGTAACTGCAAAACGGCCGGTAGCACTTAGTAATTTATATATCGAAAAAATTGCAACAAAAAAAGCTACGTTATACAATTTTTAATTTAAAATTGCTAGCAATCGTAAAAGTTTTCGAAAAGTAACGGCATTACTTAGTTTATTTACAAAAAATTATTAAAATAATTACTAACCATTTAAATTATACCCATATTTTAATAAAGGAAAAAGTAACAAAGCGCTAAGCAAAATGGCTCGAAAATTTAACAAAGTATAACTTTACGATTAAATGGAAGCTAAAATACCGAAACCCCGCGGATGGCTTGTTAAAACGTTCCCAAAACATATTAATAAACGGGAAAGCCAATATAGCAAAAAAAAATTCCAAAGCAATTTGTTAGCCAAATTTCGAAAAGCAACTTACGTAAGGACGATTACTATTAAAAAAAACACTAAAACGATATTAAAACGCATTTTCGAAGCACAAATAAAAAACGATTTCGTTTAAAGCGGTATTTGGAAAAATAAGCTTAACGTTTAAAAAATTAGCAACGGTTTGTTTAAATATAAAAAAAAAGTTTAGGTTCCGAATTTAGCACCGTTTAAGCAAATAATGCTTTAAAAACAATACGATAGCCCAACAAAAGGTTACAAAAGCATAGCCAAAACTTTAAAAAAGCTTAAACGGCAGTTTAAATGGCCGGGTATAGCTAAAAACGTACGCAAATACGTACGGACGTATTAAATATACCAATAAATAAAACCAAAAATACAAATACCTTACGGGTTGCTAGCATTTTTGCCCGTACCAAACCGCCCGGAACAAAAGTTATTAATGGATTTTATTAAAAAGCTTTTAACGTTAATAAATAAAACCGGCAAAAAGCGCGACGCAATATTGGTAATGGTCGACCGGTTTACCAAATATAACTTTTTTATTCCAACGTCCATAAAGTTAATTAATAAAAAATTGGGAAGCCTTTTATTTGCATACGTTTAAGGGTTGTTAGGAACGCCCAAAAGGATTGTATCGAACCGGAACAAGCTATTTACAAACGGGTTTTAAACAACCTTTGCCGGACATTTAAAGGTTGCAAAAAAGCTATTAATAACATATCACTTTTAAACCAACGGGCAAACGGAACGGACGAACCAAGCAATAAAGCATTATTTTCGGTGCTTTTGCTACGAAAAGCAAAACGATTGGGCGTTGCTATTGTACCTGGCAACGTAAATGCATAATACGAACGTGCATTTAAAATCGCAAAAAACCCCGGCGTTTTTGCTAATAAAGTTTTACTTACGAAAGCTTTATAACTTTCGGGTAATTAAAAAAAAACTTTCGGTAGCGGTTAAAATTAAGGCGGGGGCTTTGGAAGCAATTAAAAAACAAGCCAAAAAATTGCTAAAAAAAGCAAATAATACGTACAAAAAGTATTATAACAAAGGCAAAACCCCGGTACCTTTCGGGGTGGGCAATTGGGTATTGCTAAGTACGGCAAACATTAAAATAAAAAAGCCGTTAAAAAAACTATCGAATAAATGGTTGGGACCTTTCCAGGTCCTAAAAATGGTTGGGTTAGCCGGTTTAGCGTTTTGGTTAAAGCTTTCGGTAAATTACCGGATACATAACGTATTCCCGGCAAATTTATTGCAAGCGTTTAAAAAAAAGCCCGGCGAAAAACCAAAAAATAAGGAATTAAAAATCGAAGGAAAAAAAAAGGATCGCTTTAAAATAAAAATTTTGCTAAAATACAAAAGGCCTTTGCAAAAACGAAAATACCTAATTAAATAAATAAATTACAACAAATCGAAAAATTCGTAGATTTTAAAAAAGGATATTACGAAAAAAATTGTTTAAACGTATAAAGCAAGCTTATTGGAAGCAAGCTTATAAAATAAGGAAAATACCGAACCCTAACGGGTAAATACCCGGAAAAAACGGGGGTATTACAAAAAAGGAATAACAAAAGCTAAAAAAATGGCCCAAAAAAATGTTTTAACGTGCCGAACCGGCTAGCCACCGAAAAAAAACGTAAAAAAACCCATAAACGGCTTATAATAGCCGTAAAATATCGTGCCCTATAAACAAAAAGTTAAATGGGAACGGTATAATACGGGGAACGCCCCAAATTAATGGTACGACATATTTAAATCCTAAAGGACATGCAAAGTGTAACACATTTTGGAAAGCCCGTAAAAAGCATGCTTGGCGCGATACGCCAAAGTAATTACCGCATTTTAAACGTACGTCGTGGTAAAAAACACCATTGTTTGCCCGAAAAAAAAAATAAAAAAACCTTTGAATAATACGGCAAACGGGCTTAAGCGTTCGGGTAACGGCAAATGCATGTCGGCGGTATTTAAACCCATTAAAAAACGAAAAAAAAGCATTTTAAAATTATTTATTGGGGCATTAAAACCTAACTAGTAATTAAAAACATTAAAACCTTGCAATGCTGCAAAAGCAATATAACGAAAGGAAATTGTAATTTTAATTGTAATAAATTAATAAAAAAAATTTAAAATTAATTACTTTTTAAAAAAGGAATACTAATAATTAATTAAAAAATATGTAAAAAAATTAATTAAATGCCGTATCCAAAAAAACCAAAACCTTCGAAAATTACGTTCCTTTCGCTAGCGCTACAATCGTTACCGTTAAAATCGTTGGCGTTAAAAGCGGCACTTTCCGGCGCTAATACGGACGCCGCATTTTTACGGGAAGCCGCGCGGTTATAAATTTAAATATCCGAATGCGCCGTAATCGTAGCAAAGCTAGCGGTAATGTTACCAAAAAAAACAATTATACCTTTTTCGAAACGTTTAAAAAATGCCTTTATTTTGTTAAAAAAATTACCGATGCTAGCTAAAGTTTAAGCTTGCTTTTTCGTTTAAACGGCAATAACGTAAAGCTATTGGGAAATGTTTTAAATAGCTTTTAATATCGTAGCGCTAGCAATTTTGCGCTGGATGCGCTTTTAAATAACGGCTTAACGTTTGTAGCGCGCAAATTGCTCGGTTAATATGGTATAAAAGGATTTAACCTTTTAAATAACCTTGCGGGCGCGAAATTAAGCTTTGGTAAACTTTTCGAAAAGCTTCGGTATCGTTTTGGGCAATCGCTTGTAAACGGTATTTAAAATTTTATAAAAGTTTTGGGCCATTTCCCAAAACCATTTAAAAAGCTTAACGCAAACCTTATTGCTAACCACGTTTTTGTAATAAATATATTTGGAAAATCCCGTACAATTATCGAAGCATATCGGCATACAAAGGTTAACGGCATAATTTTAATATGCTTAACAACCAAAATAACGGTTACAAAATACCGTACGCTCCGTATAATTATTTTTAAAAAGGGGCAAATAAATAAGGTTTTAATTATCGCCCCATTAAAAATCGATAACCTCCCGCAACGGGAGCGCGTTACGAACATTTATATAAAGCAAAAAAAAGGCAATATCCGTTTCGGGGGCAGGTTTATTGGAATCGAAAGCGTTGCGGCGGCGTTCGTTGCGCGCTTTACGCTTTTTTTTGGCGGAGGTTTTTTTGCCGCGGCGGTTAAAACCCGCCGGGGGGTTACCGGCAAAACGCTTGCGGAAGTTTTAAAAGGTTGCAAACGCAAAAGGGCCCGATGAACCCGCAACATTTAAAAAGCTTACCGAAAGGTTACCGGCAAAGCGATCGTTAGGGATTTAAAAGATTAAAGGTTCCGGCAAAACCAAATTCGAATTTAACTAAACCACGATAATTAAGGAAAATACCAAAGGGTCGCCAAAAAGGGCCAACGGGCCGGTTAGGACCGAAAAACCCAAAACGAATACCCAAAAAAACATTACTTTCTTTACGTAATCGGGTACAAAGGATAACATTTACAGCTACCGGTTAAATCCAAGTATCCAAAAGGAACGGCCAAATACTAATTACTTACGGTTACAATCGTTAAAATTATTAAAATGGTTATTAAATGTACAAAAAGGAAAAAAAAAGGGCTCGTAGCTTTAAACGGGAAAAAAAGCCTTTTATATACCGGTACGGACCTATTTTTCCGAATGCTATAAAGCTTTACAACCGGTTTCTTTAAGCGTTACCGGGCATCGGGGCGGCTTAGCGAAATACCGTAAGTTACCGGTTACTTACGGGGTTGCACGCGCGGCATAAACGGCTTAGGACAAGCCGTATCGAAAGGGGGCAATATGTTAAAAGCACGGGCAAAACCGCCCAGCAAAAAGCGGAAAGCGTTAAATGCACGGGCAAAACCGCCCGGTAAAAAAAGAAAAAGGGGGCGTTAGCAACCAACCGGGCACGGACCCCCTAAAAACATGCTAGCGAATTACCGGTATCGCGGCCAAAATATAATGGCGAAATTAAAAAATAGGGTAAAGTTTAAATTGTACGAAAGCGCTTGGAACGCGGAAAATTTAAAAAACCGACCCCGGGTGCCCGAAAGGGCACGAAAAAAGGGGAGGTTAAAAAAAAACAATTTTTGTTAGCGATAACACTTTTGGTAAGAAATTTACGGAGGTTTAACAAAGGAAACACCGCATCCGGCCCGTAACCCGGTAACCACCCGCCTTTGCACCGATTAACCTTTAACAGCCGCTTTAATGCCCGGCAACGCTTAAGGAAACCGGTTATAAAGCTTTGTAGCATCCGGAAAAATGGGTTCGTACCGGCATATAAAAGGCTTTTTTTTCCGTTCGAAATTACGAGCCCTTTTTTTTTCCTTTTTGTGCATTTAACAACCATTCCAATAATTTTAACGATTGTAACCGTAAATAATTGGTATTTGGCCGCTCCTTTTGGATACTTGGATTTAACCGGTAGCTATAAATGTTATCCTTTGTATTTAATTACGTAAAGAAAATAGTGTTTTTTCGGGTGTCCGCTTTGGGTTTTTCGGTTTTAGCCGGCCCGTTGGCCCTTTTTAGCGACCCCCCGGTATCTTTTCCAATTATCGTAATTTAATTAAATTTGGATTCGGTTTTGCCGGAACTTTTAATCCTTTAAATTTTTAACGATCGTTTTGCCGGTAACTTTTCGGTAAGCTTTTTAAATGTTACGGGTTTATTGGGCCCTTTCGCGCTTGTAGCTTTTTAAAATTCCCGCAAACGTTTTGCCGGTAACCCCCCAGCGGGTTTTAACCGCCGCGGCAAAAAAAATTTCGCCGAAAAAAAGCGTAAAACGCGCAACGAACGCCGCCGCAACGTTTTTAATTCCAATAAATTTGCCCCCAAAACGAACATTGCTTTTTTTTTGCTTTATATGGGTATTCGCAATGCGCTTCCGTTGCGGAAAATTATCGATTTCCAATAAAGCGATAATTGGAATTTTATTTATTTGCCCTTTTTTAAAAACAA